TCATATATATTAATGGGGATGAATGAAGCTAGATTTAAACCTACTCTCTGTGACTCCTGAATGCATACATTCAAATGATATATATATATGTATATATATATATAACACAGTGCAACCCCAGGACCCAGGGTATAAACTCTGGCACCAAGAAAAAAACCAAAATATTAAAATACTTTAGCTTTTTAGTATTGGGGAGGTTAACGGGGTCTCTAGGAGCCCTCGGCCACAGGTTGCTGGGGCAAAGCCGTAGATGGCAGTGTCACCAGCTCTGCCCAGTGTCTGCCAGGGGCCAAGGCTGGGTGGGCATGGGGACAACGTATATACACTGGAACATGTATACTGGCAGACTTCTGAACCGCCTCAGTCTTTACCACAGGAAATACCACACATGTCATATCCCGGGGTGAAAACACGGGGTGAGATTGAGGCCCGGGTCTCTGGGTCCAAATGGCATGGCAGTGCCCCAGGGCCCTGGAGGAGGCCTTGAGGACTGGGTGGACACCGTAGGAACCAGCGATTCTTTCCCCAGAAAGGGAAGGTGAGATGTGAAGGTGTTAACTAGAATGCATGTGGAAGCTCAGAGTCCTCTCGAGGTGCGACCCTCATATCCAGCCTAGTGACCGACTCTGGGTACCCAGCTGACCCCTCTGAAGGGCCTGGCTCAAAACAGTCAGGGCAATGTCCAGTCTCTCCCCCTGGTTTGGCAAAAGGCCCAGCTGGGCTCCTCGCTTGCTGTCTGGAGCACAGGGAGAATACGGCAGCTAATACTGAGGAGATACCCTGCTGGGGCAGGGAATGCTGGGGTGAAGGAGAGGGCGTGGTTGGTAGAACACAGTGAGGGACAGAAAGAGTCTCATGGACTCCCTCCTACCAAGAAGTGGCCTCCCCATGAAAGGCTGTGAATGGAATGGACCTCTGGTGGCTACGGAGGTCCTAGAGGCCACAGACCCAGCATTGGATGCTCTGAGGCGCTTGTGGACCTGCCTGGGCTCTTCTCCTGGCCCTACCCGGGCCTCGGCAGAGTATTGCTCATAAGTGCTTGGCCAGCCCGGGCCCAGCTTCCCATTCTGCAGGTCAGTCTGGCTCAGCGTGTGGCGGGGCATCCCCGCTGTCACGAACATTCAGTCTGGCTGTGGTGGCCACGGCTACCTGGTGTTCTGGAGGTCCTCCCGCAGCCAGGTGGGCAGTGTCTGGCCCATCTTGTACAGCAGCTTGGAAAGCTCGATGTTGTGGTCCCGGTAATAGTCCTTCAGGAAGGCACGGGACTGTAACGGGAAGGAAAGCTCAGACCTCGGTGATGTGCTGACTCAAGAGTGACCCCTCCTCTTTAAAACCACCATTCTGTTGGCGCCATCCCATATTCCCATACGCCTATTATCTATGCACAGTCTTCTTCATAATGGTAGCCTCCAAAAGAAAACTTCTTTATAGCAGGAGTACCCAATATAGCACACAAGGTCAAAATTCTCGTGATAGAGAGAAAAGAGAGAGAATTAATCAAAACCAGAGGTGAATGGGAAAAGGCAAAATGACAAGAGTCACAGTGCGCAGCCTTTGCTCTATACCCTTTGTCCATTCTCTCCTACAAGAACGCCTCACCCTTCCATGGCATAGGTCTAAACGTACCGCCCCTTCCAGACCCAACTCCAGAGGCCTCTCCCCTCCTTTGAGAAATCTCTTTCCTCCCAGCTTCAAGTGGCATCTCCTTATTCTGAATTCCCATGGCACTTGTGTGCACCTCTCCTACTTTACGGAGCACTTCCTGCCTTGTATTCTACTGATTGGTTTGTGTGACTTGTTTCCCTCCTAGACTAGGAGCTCTTTGAAGGCAAAGAACATGTCTGACCCATCCTCAAAGCCCCACAGCATTCAGCCCTCAGCAGAAGGTAGTAAATACTCTTGGACTAAGTCAGTTCTGACCCACCATATCCCAGCCCGCATTTCCTCCTCTTCAAAACACCATCCAAAAAGTATCAAGGTCATTGACATGCTGAGTATAAGGTAAAGGGGAGAGAAAGCTCCCTCCTGTATCCAGCTGCCGCAGGCAGTGTCCCCACCACTTACATCCAAGTCCATCTCTGGGTATTTCCGGCCTTTGCTTTTGCCCAGACACTTGGTTTTTCCTCCTTCAAGCAGTTGGCACCAAAATCCTTTCTTTGGATCAAACCTGTGGAGGTGGGGAAAGCCTGTGGATGGGAGCTGGCCCAGCCCACCTCCATCCCACTGTAAGGCAATGTTCGTAGACCCCAGGAATGGCAGAGCCTAGGAAACTATAGAATCCAGTCCCCTGTGCACACTCAAACTCACAGATTGTGCGGGGCTGATATTTGCATCTCTCGGCCCACGTTTTGTCCCTGGGCTCCACTAAACCCGCCTGCCCCTTCTTTGCAGCAGAGGGCAGCTCACATGCTCTGAGCCTCCTCTTCTCCTGGCTGGCAGCCCAAGTTTCTGCAGCAACCCTAAAGCAACCCTCACGGTTTCAGGAAACCTCTTCCAAGCATTCTCCAGCTCCAGGGTGAGCAATATTTTTTTTTACCCAAGAACCCAATAGGGGGCAATAGTTTAGTAAAGTTCTTTTGTTTTTTAATAAATTGTATTTTTATCAAGAAATGCAATGTCTGCCCTTGCACTTAAAGCATGTCCATCATTGGAAAGTTTTGGTTTTTGGAGTAAATTTCAGAAATGACAGAGCAAGACTGATTTCGTGAGCCTTCAAGGGCATTTTCGGGCAATGAGATCTGAGGGTGTCACAGGCAGAGAAGGGATGTTGGCATCAGAATTCAGCCCCAGATCAGGAACCATTAGGAGATTCTTGGGCATGAGGACAGCAAAAACACAAAATTCACATTTGGCAGGTGAGGGAAATAGGGGTTTCTGACTGGGCCACTGGGAAGGCATAGATGACGATGACGATTCCAGCAGCTACCTTTATTAAGCATCAGTACATGCCAGGCATTGAGCTAAAAGCTCCACATGTACGCTTTCATTCAACACCGTGACTCTTGGGAGACAGGAATTATTACCTTTATCCTCAACTTACAGATGAGGAAAACGAGACTTGAAGGAGCTGAGATATTTGTCTAAGTTAATACAGCTAAAGAAGTCATGGCTCTGGGCTCCTAACCCAGGCATTTCTGATGCCACAGCCCACACCCTCAGCTGCTGCTCCTTTCTGTCTCAAAGTGAAGGACTGACTTCCCTTTCCCACCTTCAACTTCCAAGATAGTGAAAAGGGAACATTCTTGCTGCAAGACTTTCCCAAGAAGGTAACCGAGGAAGGTGGCTTTATTCTTCCTCCTCTTGAGACCCCCTCATCCAGCTGAGTGTGTCACCTGTCTGTGACACAGCACTGGGAGATAGCCTTTACCCAGCCCTGAGCCCCTGCAACACAGGCTGGAACCTACTCTTCTGGGACGGCATTCTCAGTGCACTAGCACTGGGTCCCAAGGGAGTGGGACCATTAGCATCGACAATATTTGTAGTTTCCTTTTTCTGAGATTATATTTAAGTTATAATCTAATGCTAAGAAATCCTTGTGTAAGTTGGGGCTGCTCATTATTGGACTAAAACACTCTGAAAGTGTTCAGCTCAGAATGGAAAGAACATTCCGGGGGTGGAACTGACCAGAGTAGAACAGATTCACCTCCCTTTTTCTTGAGTTGATACCTTTACAAATATGACTCAAGTCATATTAATATTATCTTTTCTGCTAAACTGCCATCAGGGACATGCATACTTTATCAGACCAGCTGACGCTAATAAACCTGTGTCTCTCCCATAACCATTCAAGCTTTTGGCTTTCTGGCCCAGGTGCCTGCTCAGGAAACCCCTCTGGTGAAAGGCCAAGGCCACACTCACGCCAGAGTTTTGTGGTAGTCAATGGTGTTGGTCACCCCAAGGAACTTTTGCACTGTGTCCATCACTTTGGCAGGTTCTGTTCGTAGCAGTTTGCCATCCAAGACCAGAATCTATAAAAAAAGAAAAGGGAGAAGGGTGATCTGAACCTATTTTCACTCCAGTGGCCCCCAAGTTCTGGTTCAGGAGCCATGGTTACAAACTGGAATCTGCTTCCTCCTCCTCCACATTCGAATGGCAGGTGTCCCCAAACCTCAGTCCTCTGCAGTCTAACGCCCTGCTCTCTGCCAGCTTCCTCTGACTGACGTCATCCTTTTCCAGAGTTTAAGCTATCATCAAACCCTGCCTACTTCTCCTATCTCTACAATATCCCTCTCTGGCCTCTCCCCAAGCTTCCGGCCCACATGTCACTCCACCGCCTAAATCCTCCAAGTCTTCCTAAAACTCCTTGTGTGATCTGGCCCCGCCTACCTCTCCAATCAGGCTCTCGCTCCACCACTACCGACAATCTCCCCTCCCAGAGACCGACCCCAGAGTTTTCTGGGTCCCCTTAGGGATACAGGGCCTGTTGTGATGGAATAAGGGCTTGGGGAATTCTCATACATCAGCACTGGGATAAACAAGATCAAAACCTTTGAAGAACCCAAAGGTCTAACTGGCCATTGATGGCATTCACAGCCCTAAGACTGGTGAAAGAGATTTTGAGACTCTGCTAACTACAGCAAGCCAGTAGTACTGTGATTGCCCTCCCAAGGGTCAAGGACAGGCAGCTACCTGGTTGGCGTGAAAGGCGCTGAGCCAGCGCTCTATGTGGGTGGCGTACCAGCCTGGGACCAGGCAGCGGTTCTGGAGGGCACGCAGCTTCAAGGAGGCATCGGACCCAGCTGTGATCACCTCGTGGAAAGTGTACTTCAAGGCCACTGGGTCATCGTGGGCTCGCTGGTGCTGTGGGCAGGGGGAGAGGGTTAGCATGTCAGTCAGCAGTGGAACAGCAGCCATGAGGTGGCCAGAAGACCCTGGGCTGGAATCAGGAATCCTGGGTCCAAACTCCTGGCTCTGTCTCACATCATTGTCCAATCTCAGGGAAGTTGCTGACCCCTCTGAGCCCAGTGTCCTCATCTTTGCAAGACGTGAGTTGGACTAGATCAGAGTTTCCAAATGCTGGTCACCTGTACACCCTTTCTGTGATTTCTGCAATACCCGCAATCCTCCTGCATGAGTCAGTGTCGGCACACTGTTCTTTATGTTGACCCATCTTTCTTATTCGCAGAAAATTATTGCAAAATAAAACTACCATCTTCATAAATGGAAAACCAGAACAGCTGTCACATATAGAAGGTAGCTGTTCATAAATATAATCAAAATAAAGCAATATTCTCACACGCCAGATACAAACGTCTCCTACAGGCCCTGAACCCAAAACTTGTACCCTCTCTGTTAAAAAGAGCTTAGCGGTGTTAGAAAGGACTTCAATGCCATTTGCGCCAAATTAAGAATTTCTCCTTGATAGAAATCAGGAGGCATAGACTGAACGTTTGTCCCCTCCTTCGAATTCATATGTTGAAGCCCTAACCCTCGAAATGATATTCGAGATGGGGTCTTTGCGAGGTAATGGGGTCATGAGGGTGGGCCCTTGTGATGGGATCAGCATCTTTGTGAGAAGAGACACCAGAGAGCACACTCCGTCTCTCCCTCTCTGCGGTGTGAGGACACAGTGAGGAGGCTGGAAGAGCGCTCTCACCAGGAACCACATGGGTCGTACCTTGACCTTGAACTTCTACCATCCAGAGCTGTGAGAAACATCTGTTGTTTAAGTCACCCAGTCTATGATATTCGTTATGGCAGCCTGAGCAGACTAAGACAGGATTGGGAAAGAATTGGAAAGGAGAAAACACCAGTTTGAAACACCTGAAACAATGCCCCAGGCTGTGGACATCTGCAGAATTCCCACGGTCCGGAGATCAGGAACCTGCCGACCAGGGGTAAGGCTCATCAGCCCCCACACGCCCACGAAGGCTCACCTACGGCTCAGGGAGGGGAAAGGTTTGGGGACTAGAGAGCAAAGAGGGTCTGTACCCTGTCCCATGCCAGCACCGTGGACACAATGAGGCCCCGAGAGGCACCTGGGTGAATAGGCTCAGAGAGGGTCAGGGAGCAGCCAAAAGTGGCCTGGGGAGGCCTTCTTGGACAGGCTTGTAGACACCCTCGCATGTGGCAGGCAAAGGAGGGAACCCCCGAAGAGGCCTGAGCATAAGCTTTCCTGTAAGCCCAGAGGAATGGTGCTCAGAAGAAATTAAGTCAGGTCATCAAAATTAAAGAAAGCTCTAGTTCTTACATAATCAAGTAAGGACTAGGAGTCGTGCTCTCTCTGGCATGGATGCAGTCCAGGTAACTTCCTTATCTGATCAGGCATTTGCATCCTCCACTAAGAATGGCGGGTCTTGTGTCTTGCCCTTCTCTGAATGCCTACTGCCTGCCACCCCACCCAGTGCTGCAGTTAGTATCAGGCCAGGTCACTGTTCACCAAATCTAGGCTTTGTCAAAGTGAAACTAGCCTCCACCGCTTATTGGTGTCAGAAAGAGGCTGGACCCCAGACAAAGCTAGGAGGGTGGGCAAGTAGCTGTTGGCTGGGATTAACCATGGATTTCTGCCTGTCTCCTCCATTGGGCTAAAAGGGCTGTGGAGCTGGATCTCTATTCTTACCCACCACCACATCCCGGGGGCTGGCACATAATAGGTGGTTAGCAGATATTTTTTAAATGAATGAGTGAGTAGCTGAATGGCAAACAGAGCCCCATATCCCCACCCAGGGCCCTGCCCAGCCCAGCTCACCTGGTACCAGGAATAGGCCCGGTCTGCAGGGTTGATGAGGATGGTCAGGACCTTGGCCTTGGGCAACAGGGAGGCTGCCCGCCGGGGCGCCACTTCTGAGTCAAAGTAGTTGGCGCTTTTCTCAAAGTAGAAGTCGGAGGTGGTGTTGGAGGGGATGGGGAAGAACTCCATGTACCTGCAGGAAGCCCAGAGAGGGGGCTCACAGGCAAGACTCATGAAGAAGGGCTTGACGGATGCAGCACAAGAGGGCAAGGATTGCTGGGGGTAGAACTTCCAAGAGCAAGCAAGGTAGATTGTTTGTTCCCAGCCAAACAAGGACTCGTTTCTGGCAGCGATTCTAGAAAAATGGCTTCTTGGCAGTCTCCCTTTTCGGAATTCATCCCTTTTCAGGGAGAACACATGGGGTCAGGAGGAGCTGAAGACTTATGAGTTGCAGGGCATGGGAAGGGGGTTGTGTCTTTCCATCCTAAAAGGATGTTCCAGGAGTGAAACCGACCGGGCCCTAACTCTCACTGCCTCCAGGGGGCGATCTGGGACTCCGAGCGGCCTGACAGCTTTCCAGCGGGTCCTCCCATATCTGACTGCCAGTGACCAGCCACCCCAGTCCTTTGGGACCACCTCTAGGTTGAAGACTCCTCAGAAAACACTCCAGACACCCCCAGAGGCACCTACTTATACAAAATAGAGGTATAACTTCGGGGGTCCGTGAGAACAAAAGCCCACGTGGCCCACCCTAGTTAAAGCTTAGAATCCCGACTCTATCCTGTGAGACAGGGGTTCTCCAGGATGGCCCCAAGGATCCCTTTATCAGTGCTACGTGGGGGCTTGTGAGATTCCTGCAGCCACCCTACACCCACCTACAAAATCAAAATCTTGGGGATGGGGCTGAGGAATTGCTCTCTCTCTCTCTTTCTCCCTCTCATCTTTCTGAATTTTCTTTATAAAATGCATCTGTCTGTACATAATCCATTGTAATACCTAAATCAAGAAAGCTCTGAAAACAGAAGCTTTTTCCTTAAGTTTGTTGCAAAGTCACTTGGCAACGAAACCTGACTTATTAATCTTACTTAGTGTAAATATGCACATACTTTGCTGCAGACATATTGATGTATTTGCTAATGGGGTGCTGCCCCAGACCCTGCTGAAGGGTGTTGCTAAATATGTGATGTCACAGCACATTATCTCTCTGCGATCTGAAAAATGCTGACTTCCCATGATACGTCTGCTACAATGGGTTTTAAATAAGAGGTTATGAACATATTAGAGCTACAGACAGAAAGACGGGGAGGGAGGAAGGTGAGTAGTTGGACATCAGACAGAGAGCAATAGACAGACGAAAGAGAGAGGAAAAAAAATACACACAGAAAAATGCCAAAAAACAGAAGTATCTCCGTAATTTCTCCACCCAGGTAAACCACTGACATAAGGATAATAAACAAGAGTAATTAATACATATATAAGGTTAGAAAAGACAAATAGTAGAGAAAGATGCAAATTGAAAAATCTGAGCGTAAAACCATCCCCACTCAGCCCCCACACCCTGAGGTAACCTCTGGTGACAGGTTCTGGTGGGAGCTACATTGTCAACCACCTCTCCAGATGACTCCCTGAAGGCCAGCAAGACACCTCTGAAGGGCCCATGAGGATGCCTCCTGTCCCATGGTCAGCCAAACACAGTGAGAAGGGCCAACTCTTGGGTCAGAACACTTGGATTTTAGCCCCCGCTCTGTCCCCAGCTCTTGGGACCTCAGGTGAGTCCCTGCCCTCCTCTGGGACTCAGAATGTTTCTGTGCAAGCAAGGGAGAGGCTGGACTCTGACTTCCAGCAGCCTCTGACCCCAGGCAATAATACAAGGGTTCAAAGTGTCCCATCTGTGACAAGGCTCCAGAACCATGACACCAGGGTCATCGTGCTTTGTCCCTGTTTACAGGAACTTTAGCTGAGTGTGAACAAGCACCAGCTGCTTCCTGCTGTGGCCGCAGCTGGCCTCCTTTTGGGCAGGCTCCATGATGGGCTTCCTGTCCCGCTGTGGACAGAAAGGCTCACTCACCAGTCGATGCCTTTGTGATAGTTGTGGCCGTTAAAAAACTGGATCTCCTCAAAGGTCTCTGAGCTGGGGTAGTTGCTGCTGAGGTCCGGGTGCATGCCCAGGAACAGGTAGAGGGCCGTGGTGCCTGCGGTGACAGAAAGCGGCTCAGACCAGGGCCCAGCTCCCAACACCAAGATGGAGTCTGAAATCCTGGGTGCTAGTCCTAGGTCTCCATTTCTCACTGCGAGATCCTTAAGGCCTTTCCCTTCTCTGGGGCTTAGTTTCCACATCTACACCATAAAGGAACTATAGTAAACTCAGGGTGGCAAATACATGGCATGGACGTGAGCACCCCAACTCCTGTACCCACGGCAGACATTACTCATCCATTGTAGCATTCTTCAACACTAAACAAGGACTTGGCCTCAGAATCCTTCTCACCGCTGTACTCCAGCTGCCACACCCATCTGATTACTGTCTCCTTAGAACTCTAGAACCAGATAAGTTTCTGCTGCGCCCTTCCAGCTCTGGGCCTCTGTCTGCTCTGACACTCGGGAGGAGCTCAGAGAAAAGGGAGCTCCAGACCCTCATCTGTTGATGTGAAATTCTTGAAAGCCTGAGAAATCCGCCTCTTTTGAGTGCTCATCCCTCTCCTAGTTGACAGCACAGGACCTACGCCCTCCTCTTTCAGAGAGTTCATGCCTTCCTTGCGTGTGAGTCTGCAGTTAATACGCTACAATGAGAGGTCTGGCGGAGAAGGAGACTATGGAGTTTGGTGATTCAGAATGTAAGTTTTGCTGTCACAGTGACCAGGGTTCGGGACCTGGATCTGCCATTTCCTAACTAAATATGTTAAAGAAAGTCATTTACCTTCTCTAAGCCTCATTTTTTTCCCTGTAAAATGGGAGTACTCATTCACGCCTCACAGAGTGTGCACGGCAAACACTTAGCAACCGTGTCGCCGCTTCCTTCTGCAGCTCTGGCAGACATGACTAACTGGTCGCAGTTCTCTTTGCACTGAATCGTTTTGCCTGGCACTGTTCAGACTTGCAGAGCGGCTGACCTGGACTTCACTCCCTAAACTCAGAGACCCCTAGGAGGGCACAGGGAGAGCTCCCTCCGGCTCTGGTTCAGGACAGATCAAAGAACTCCATGCCCACCCTCCACTTAGTTCCCACCTCCACACTGAGAGGCAATTCATGTCCGCCCCGAATTTACTCCTACTTCCTGGAAAGAGGAGCAGATTATTAGGGAGTGGGACCAGGGCAAAGCGGTCCCCAGAATTCTGTGGCTGAGATAGTAGGTGGTAGGGAAGGCTGGTCAGGAGTGGAGAGACCTGCCTGTTTTCTGGGGGCCAATGATGAGGAGCTTCGGGAAGCGGTCACACGTCTTCTCCTTGGACCAGATGTCTTTGTGGCGTTTGTCCTCGCAGGGGTCCTAAAACAAAATTGGAAAGGATGTTAGGGGGGCCGGAGAACCCAGTGGATGGACTCCCATTGCACATGGAAACGTGGCTCTTACCGCCCTGGAAGGCTTTACTACATGTGCCCTTGTCACATCCCCACCTCGGGACACTGGGCTGCTTGGGTACTATCTGGTCTCTGTCACAGCTACTCAACTCTGCTGTTGTAGCTTGAAAGCAGGCACAGGCCGTACATACAAGATTGAGCATGGCTTGGTTTCAATAAAACTTTATAAAAACAGACTATAGGCTACACAGGCACAGGCCGTACATACAAGATTGAGCATGGCTGGATTTCAATAAAACTTTATTTATAAAAACAGACTATAGGCCATGAGCCATGGTTTGTTGACCTCTGGTTTGAACTATGAGACTTGCCATCAATTCTACCTTCTGCTTCCAGTTTCTGACAGTTCCGGCAGTAAACTTTCCTAAGAAATGTCCCCCAAAACCCTGCCATCAGCCTCCTTTCCCATGGTTCAAGGCCCACTGGCATGAGAAGGGCATAAAGACTCTCTAAGAGTCACCAGGCCAGCTGCTTTCTACACTTCATCTACACCTTGTTCACTTACGGTTTGTACCGAGGTTTTTCTCAGAGGCTGTGTATGAGAGTGAATGCCCATAGGTCAGTGTGGGAGGTGTGTACACATGTGCACACAAGAACAAGTGTGCCCACACGGGTGAGCAAGTGTGCACCTGAGTTTCCACTTGAGAGAGACTCTGAGGCTGTGAGTGCTGAGCCCTGGAGCCCATGGTTGGAGCATGTGCCTGTGAGTCAGAGGCATTCCATCCCTGCAACAAGGCCCCTAGGCCCCCACCTCCTCACCCACCTGCCAGAGTGGATCTTTCTCCTCAGAGAAAATCTGGAAGTACTTCTGGGCCAGCTGCACAGGGGGCAGTGTCTGCAGCCGGAGGCTGGTCCAGGAATGCAGGAAGCGCACCAGGTGCTTGAAGGTGTACAGGCCTAGGCGGTCATTCCCGTAGTTGGACAGGTGTGTCATGAAGATACTGATCTGCTCCAGGGGAGGGAGGCGGGAGGCAGGGGCTGGTTAGCCTCCGAGCCACCTTCACCCCACTTCTGACCCTTGGGTCTTGCTTCAGCTCGCCGGGCCACTCAGTGACCAGTCCTAGGTTCACCAGGGCCACCGAAAAACTCGCTGTGACTTTGGGCTGGGCACAGCCAGGTGGGTGCAGGTCTGAGTGATCACCAACTATAACAGCTTTGAAGTGGGAAGCAGACCTACTGCAGTTATTTGGGTGCTCTGTTGTATGTTTTTGCGGGGGAGGTGGGTGCATGGAAGATGAGGAGTACTCGGTTATCCCATAAAGCTAAATAACACCACAACCTGCTATCTGTTTTATATCATCAAGATATGATTAAAACAGGAATGTCTCCATTTTACAGATAAGGAAAGTTGCAGAAAGCTCAGATGAATAGTTTAAATATACATAGTTAAGTATGTTAATAGTTTACTATGTCTATTAATATATATTCATACACACACAAAGACTGGAAAGAGAACATGGACAAAAAAATGCTAACACTATTGTATTGAAGTTCGAGATAATGGAAAGGAAAAAAAGACAGCTCAGTCACTCCACCCAGGGTCATGCAGCAGAGCAGGAACAGAGCCAGGGCTGGAGCGTAGGTCTCCCGATTCCCGGCCCTCATACGTGCTCTTACCCATTCGCTCCCAGGCCCAGGGAGGACTGCCTCGTGACACGCAGGCCGTCTGGCTGCCCCTCCTCCCCCCCAGGTGAGGGCTGTGGAGCACTCACAGGATTGAGGAGTACGGTGAGGAAGAGCTCGCCCCCATTGATGATCTTGTCCAGCTCGCTGGAGCCACCAGGGTACTCGTTATAGAAGATGGTGTGCGTGAAGAGGCCGCAGGTCTGCCGCGGGAGGACCTGGGGGTGGGGGAGAGAGGAGCCGTGGCGTCTCCAGGCATGGCTGGTGCTGAAAAGACCCTCACAATGGCCTGGTGTCTTATCGGGAAGGCAGCCTCCTGTGTGACCCCATGGGTGTCTTCTCCCTCAAAGACTTTCTACAGCCTGAGACGTTCCCCCAGGCAGGCCCACCGGCCCTGGCTATTTTACAAAACTTCACTGCTATTCTCTGTACGAGGTAAGCAGACCCAAAAGTAGCAGAGGTGGGTGAGTGAGAATGTTTCTGGAGACTCGGGCTCTGTGCCCAGCGAGGGTCCTGACCGTCTCTAGAGCAGCTCCCTCAGCCACACTCTGCAACTCCTCTTGCAGCATGAGACCCTGCCTGGTGGCACTCTTGGTCACGCACTGGTTTAACTGCTAATTATCTGTCTCCCCCCAGGGGCTTCCAGAGAGCAGAGAACTTGCCTGCCTTGTCACCACCTCATTCTGGAGTTAATACGAGTGCCTGGTACTGAGAAATTTGGTGAGT